TACATATATTTCAACAAACATTCAAAACATGGCTGCAGTCAACAAACATGAATATTTAACTTACAGGGTCTCAGTTATTCAAGGATATCATGAGCTATAGACATGCTTCTAATGAAATTCAAAAACTACTAGATAGCTAACTCATAAATCTACAACTTTTCTGAAGACCACTTTGGTAAATAATGACATTAGCATCGAGTTTAAACATCAAACATTCAGTACATGCAAACTACCAGAAAACAAGTTATATGACATACAACACCTCAGTAATTCTCAATTATCTCAAGCTAAAGACCTCATATTCATGCAAATCCAAGACCTACAGGAACTACACACATACGGCCACAACTTCTATGTTTAGCACTTTCACATTTGAGCATGTTTGATACACTTAAACAGGCCACATATTAAGTACATATGCACCGGCATGATTTCATAAAACTGAGTGCACAACTTACTTATAAAAATCATAATAAATCCGTTTTACCTCCGCTTTTCAAGATTCAAAATCCTACACAGAAAGCTAACAAAATATACTATATTTCTCATGAAGAACATAATTCCAAAGAACGGGTTCTTGGTCGCCAAAACAGGCTTACAACTGAGGCACTGAAACTAAAATTTTCATGCAAAACTTATAGACAATATCAACGATTTGTCATCTAATTCATCACGGCATCATAAACACATAACTCATCATTAAGAAAGCCTTATTATCAACCTTTTAGACTTAAAAATCTTTTAAAATCATCAAATTGCCCAATATCCAACTTGGTCTTTCATTAAACATTTATAAACATTTAATCTTATACAATTCACTTCATTATTACATGTATTACCATGATTTGGATTAACTTGATCATCAAAAATTAGTCCTTGGCTTAGAAATATACCGTTCTCGGAAAAGAGGAAAATAGAAAGAATTTGAAGGAGGGCTAGGCTCGGGCTTGCGTCGCGCGTCGGGCTGCTGGGGTTGCACAGGTCTCGGGTCTCGCGGGCTGGTGTCGAGCGGGGGCCTGGGCTGGTGCGTCCGGGGCGTACTGGGTGGCTGGTCGTGCCTCGGGGTCGAGGCCGAGAGGGAGGCTGGTCGGGCTTGCTCGATCGACTCTCTCTCTATCTCTCTTTTCGCTAGGTTTTCAGACATAAATCTTAAGAGGAAAATGTTGTATTTATAGGCTAGGTTTCGGGGAACTTGGAGTGGAATTAGAATTCTTAAATTGGCTAGGAAAAGAATTTATTTGCTTGGTAAGGAAGCAAAACACATGGAAAATATCTAGAATAATTTCCTCATCTCTATTCTTGCAATTTCTCACGTGAAAACAATACGGGGCTGATTATTTGTGCTCAAATATCTTACATTAATACTCCTTCTATTTTACTGCTAAGGTTTTAATTATTTAATTAAATAGATGAGGTCATCTACTTAATTCTTAATAATAGTTATAATAAAATTAAATAAGTGAGGACACTTACTTAATTATTTGCATAACATAAAATATGTTGAGCTTATTATATTAAAAAAATAAATCATAAATAATCATTAAAAATATCTAAATATGCATAAAATAAAAATCATGAATTTGGGGTCTTACAGGGAAGCTGAGGGTTATGTGGAGGAAAAGCTTGACAGGGCCTTTGCCTCCCCAACATGGTTAGAGTCACACCAGAGTGCCACAATGTCAAATGTGTTAAGGAGTGCCTCAGACCATCCTATGATTCTACTGGACAAGGGGCATCTAAAGCAGAGATTGAAGAAGAGGTTCACCTTTGGCAAGAGGTGGTTAAAAGTAGCAGGCATCAAGGAAGTCATTGAGTCAGCCTGGGAAAAACCTCAGAGGGGTACCCCTTTTTATCAAGCTTAAGGAAAAAGTCAAAGAGGCAAGGGTGGCATTACTAAGGTGGAGCTCTCTGTTCAAAAACCAAAATTAGAGCAAAAATAAAGGCTTAACTGTGAGGCTTCAAGAGATAAGAGAAGAGGGCAGAGAAGACAATTGGGAGGAATGGGATAGAGTAAGGAAGGAACTTGATGAAGTTCACAGTATTGAAGAGCAGTACTGGAAGCAGAGGGCAAAAAATCTCTAGTGGAAGGAGGGGAATGCCAATACAAAGTTGTTTCATGCCTACACAAGGCAAAGAAGAAAGTTGAATTCTATCACAAAACTGCTGACTACTGACAACAAAGAGTACCATTCTAAAGCTGACATTGAAAACCACATATCAGATTATTTTGGCTTCTTACTTCTAAGGGTTCTTGGGGTGGTGATGCATTGCTACCTGTAATCTCTCAATCCATCACAACAGAAATGAACCAGGAATTGCTGAGACCAGTAGAGGACGAGGAGATCAAAGCAGCTTTATTCAGCTTACCTCCAGAAAAATCCCCTGGTGAGGATGGTATGAATGCTTTATTCTTTCAACATTCTTGGGATCTGGTCAACTTGGACGTGATTGAAGCTATTAAGAGCTTCTTTGAAACTGGACTGTTTCTTCAATATTGAAATCACACACTGGTTACATTGGTACCTAAATGTAAGAATCCTGATATTCTTAGTCAATATAGGCCCATTAGCCTTTGTAGTGTAGTTTATAAAATTTTTTCAAAAACCTTGGCTCTTAGGCTGAAGTTGTGTTTGGACTCCTGCATTAGTATCCACCAATCTGCATTTCTTCAGGGAAGGCATCTATTAGATAATGTGATAATTGCACAGGAGGCTTTTCACTTTTTGAGTAGACACAGAACCGGAAAAAACTGTTTCATGGCCCTGAAACTAGACCTTATGAAAGCCTTTAATAGAGTGGAATGGAGAAGTTTGCAAAAAGTTATGGTTAAAATGGGTTTTCACTTGAAGTTTTGCAGTTGATTATGGCATGTCTGACCTCTACTTCATTATCATTCAATGTTAATGGGACTATTGAAGGTTTAGTGCACCCTTCAAGGGATATTAGATAAGGAGATCCTCTTTCTCCTTATCTATTCATAATTGTTGTTGAATTGCTCTTTGCTATGATCACTGATGTTGTGGTTAAAGGAGTTCTGACAGGTTTAGAACTTTCAAGAGATGGCCCCTCCATTTCTCATCTAATGTTTTCAGATGATGTTATCTTTTTCTGTAAGGCAGGAGGAGACCAAGCCCACACTCTCATGACTATTCTGGAAAAATATAGACTTTTCACAAGGCAAAGGGTTAACATGGAGAAGTCCACAATTTTCTTCAGTTTTGTTTGCAACTCAACATCTACCAGAATATTTAGGAAATCAAAAATCACAAATCAACATGATACTTGGGACTCTCCTTTTGGATTGGCAAGTCAAAAAAGGAGGCATTTGGGTATATAGTGGATGTTGTAAGGGCCAAACCCACCAGCTGGAAAAATAAGTTATTATCACCTGCAGGAAAAGAGGTCTTAATTAAAGCGGTTTTGAATGCTCTCCCAGTGTTCAGAATGGCATGCTTTAAGCTCCCAGTAACAATAAGGCATGAAATCTCCAAGTTGTGTCCCCAACTTGAAGATTTCTTGCCAAAATTTGAAATCTTCAAGTTCTGCGCGCAACTTATAAATCTCCAATGAGGAAGATAGTAAAGCTATTTTAGCGATTTCAACTATCAATCCAAGGAAGCAAGACAGAATGTACTCGGGATTGGAGAAAAAGGGCCAATTCACAGTCTCCTCCTCTTACTCATTGTTAGTTAAAAGGAAAGTGCAGGAGCTGTATATCCCAGAAGAAAGCTCAAACTCAAAGTTAATTAAAGCTGCCAGAACTAAAACATGGAGCCTAAAAGTCAACAGCAAGCTTAAGCACTTCGAATGGAAGTGTTATTCTCGTACCCTCTCTGTCAAAGTGAATCTAAGGAAAAAGGGTATGGACATTGAAGCTATCTACCAGGGTTGTGGTGAAGTCGCTGAAACAACTGAGCATGTCTTTTTCCAGTGCTCCCGAGCTAAAAGACTATGGGATTGGCCCTGGGACGGAATATGTGAGCCTGAAAACAATTTCAGTTCCTGGTTGTGGCAAATGTGTTCTATTGGCCAGTCAGAGGTAGCAGAGGTTAGGATACAACTCACCACATACATGCTATGGTGGCTCTGGCAGTCAAGGAACTTGTGGCTATTCGAAGGAACTAAAATGCCAGTGAGTGTGGTTCTCAGTGCAGCTCTTAAAGATTGGCAAAACTTCTCCTCTTTGTAGTGTTCTTTCTGTTTCTTTGTGCTTTTCTGTATCTTTTTAGTTCTTGTTTGTAGCTGTTGTGTTTGGTTTTCAGAGGGTCTGTGCTTAGCTAGGCAGTGTGCAGTGGTTAAGTCTCCCCTTTGATAGTTAGTGTTTGTTTGTGATAAGGTTCCGGGTAGGTGGCTCCGGTTCAGAACAGATCTCGATTCAAGGGTGCGTCCTTCTTGCCCAATTTCTGGCTTGAGTGGAAGCTCGTGAGTACCTGCAAGGTACGCCGGATGAACAGTAATTGTATTTTGGTAGTTGAATAATAAATGTAACTTAACCTCTAGGCAATTAATGTCTCAATATATATAGGCCTTGTCTCATGTGCGGATATCTTAAAATATTATATAGATTAAACAGTGACCGAGCTTACGAGATCGATCCAACTCTTCGAAGACCGAGCTTACGAGCTCGATCATGCAGCTCTTCGAAGGCTCGATCAAGGGATCGATCCCCATACATGTGGGATCGATCTGGGCTCTTTCCCCTGGGGTTTTGCTCTATCCCGGTCAGTTCGGTCTGATGTTCTATATTTTTATCTTGTTCCCTATCAGTTTGTTAGTTAGTTCTCCCGGTGGTTGGTTGGGTTCTATGCCGCTTGATAGTGTGTCCTCTCAGTTTGTGCTTCGATTTAATTGTTTATCTGTTCGAATTTTTTGAGTTGTGCTATAATACCTCTATCGTTTCGACAAAAAAAAAAAAAAA